GCCTTTGCAGACTGCCAGAAATAGTGCACATTAAATTGAGGCACTGCCCTGGCTCAGTGCTAGGGAATCATGGGAACTGTATTTTATTGTGGCACCAGAGCTCTCTGACAGAGAAGGCTCAGAAAAAAATACAATTCCCATGATTCCCTAGCACTGAGCCAGGGCAGTGCCTCAATTTAATGTGCACTATTTCTGGCAGTCTGCAAAGGCCCTTGGTTAAGGAAGCCACAGCCTTGAGCTTGCAGGAACTGAGCAGGACAGTTGATGACTAGAGTTCTTGGAAGTCTTTTTTAGGGTTGCCATAGATCAAACATGACTTGATGACATATAACAACAAAAATGGTTTAGGACCAGGAAGTTTGAAAAACTGCTTCTTCCTTATGAACTTGCCTGTAACTTACTGTTGTCATCCAAGGCCCCTCATTACAAGTCACACTACCTAGAAAAACTGGGCTGATGGATGCTTAGGACAATGCCTTTTCTATAGCAGCATCCTGACTGTAGTACTCACTCACTAGAGAAGATACATTGGTCCCTTCTCCATTATGCTTCAGATAGGCAGTGAAAACTGTTGTGTTCAGTCAAGATTTGAATGGACACAACTTTGAGTTTTTATTACACTGAATGATTTTTTTCCTCATGACTCTATTTTCTTGTTATAATTTCTTCCTTTTGATTTTATCATCCTTTTATCTCATGTTGTGTATTATCTAGCAGGCAGAAGGGCAATACCTTTCCATGTCAAATAAATAAATTAAAACACAACATTACAGGTTTTTTAAAATGACACATGACTATAATGGGCTACTGTTTACAGTACTGCTGCATTCCATCTGTTTCATATTCTTTAGACACTTTCATTGGGTTTTCCCCTCTTGCTTTTGGGGAAGAGTCCATATCATTGCGTTTTAAAGCACAGATAATAAAAAGGCTCTGAAGACATTCATGGTGAATTCTGTACCACAAGTCTCTAACCATTTGATGCTCAGAAATATTCCCATCTGGCTTTAGTTGCAAGCCATTCCTATGGTAACCTCAGTGTTTCAACACATGGGAAAACAATATTGGACAATAATTGAAAGCACTTTTATCATTCTCTTATCTCCAATGACCACTCAGCAATAACCGTGGCAGCTTTTTAAAGGCTCTCTTTATTATCTGCCATCATTTATTCATTATATTTTATCCCACTTTTCTGCCAGGAAATTCCAAACACGAAACTTTTACTTGCATAAGGTTAACCTTGTCCTAACACAATGGACAATGTGTTATGCTTTACTCAGACAAGATTCTGAAACAACATAAGGATATCAATTTTCATTTTGTAAAGCAAGTCATGAGCCATTCTGAATCTCATTTCCTTGCTTCATATTCATCCTTTTTGGAGTAATGAGAAGTTCAGAGCAGTCATCATAGTAGCAACTGTCCATGACCCCAATCTGGATTAGGATCTGTATGCACAGGTAATTCTTTTTTTAAAAAAAACACACATGATATATTCCTCTGTCTTGCTATTGGAGAGACAATCCAGAGTCCCAGGTCAAATATCATGATAAACAAATCACAAACAAAGGTTGATTGTATGAGCACACTATAGTCATTCGTCCACAAGAAAGCCAGACTTCTAGCTTACTGTGACATCCATATTCAATGCACCCACCATATTGGCAGGCTAGCCACCTGCAGATTGGAGCTCTCACAGATTGCCTCTCCCCATATTAGCAAATGACAGCATACACCTGTGGGTACACTGACATGGGTGTGCACATATTGCTGGTCATTGACGAATATGGGCTTCTTGTTATTGTTGTGTTCCATCAAGTCGTTTCTGATTTATGGAGACTTCAAGGCAAATGTATCACAGGGTATTCTTGGAAAGTTTCTTCAGAGGGGGTTTGCCTTTGCAATCCTCTGAGGGTGAGAGGCTATAACTTGCCCAAGGTAACCCAATGGGTTTCATGGCCAAATGAGGAATTGAACCCTGGTCTCCAGAGTTGCAGTCCAGCATTCAAAGCAGCATGCCACACTGGCTCTCTCCAGACAGCACATGAATGTATATTTCAGTTTCGTTACAGATCATTTGAAAGAACAAACAAAACAAAAACAATTGTACCAAAAGAATGTTCCCCTTCTTTCCAACTTTATTCCCTGGAAGTGTAAAACTAACACAAAATTAAGTCAGAAAAGGTATTAGCGCCATTGATTACTGAAACTGACTTGAGGACACCTTTTTGCACGAGACACAAAATGTAAAAAGGAAGCTTTAAGATGGAACTTAAATTTAATTAAAGTGAGGGGAAGAATGGGGACAAAAAATAGCAAGAATACACATACATACACCCACATTTCCTGCCAAGAATGCTTTCCATGCCTTTGTGTAGCATAATCCCCTTTTTGCCAAGACCATTGAGCAATTCAGATCTGGAAGCTTTTAGAGAGGTCAGAGAAAATACCGTATGACCAGTGGCAGCTAGTGGCATCCAAGCCTGAACTTTAATGGACCAATCCAAATTGGGGGATAGAGTTTAGCAACTTGGATGGTTCACATTAAAAGGGGGAGTGGAATCCCCAACTGGCCTACAGAGGATTCCCCCACAGATCTTCCCATTACGCTTCTCTATGGGGTCATTCACACGTTTTTGGTGGGACTATGTAAATACATACTCACATATTCTGGGTTTGTTATTCGCACTATGGAACCACACCTATGTGCATCTCTGTGAGTTTAGGTGCTCACACATGCCAGCATTCAAATAAAGATGGAGTTGATGATGCAAATGCATTTGAAACACATGCAAGGTATGCAGAGTTTTATCTTGGTTTATCCTGGGTCTATTTGCCTTGGTTAGTTACACTGCTGACAATGTGAATCTTTTTTTTAAAACTCCAGGGGAAAAAACATAATGTTGATTATTTATGTCAGATTAATTCAGGATTTTGGCAGCCCCCCAAAAAAAAAACTTAATTGGATACATTTGAAATGCACCTGAACAACAAAGATTCAACCCAGATTATTTTAACTGAACAACCCCTCTCCCCTTCCCCTCCTTCCTTTAAAATTATAATTTGATGGTGGCAGACAGGCTGAATTCTCCCTTGAAATCCTTTAACTTTGGAGTTCAGGATGATATGTTGTTGATGGGAGATGGCACACAGTCAATGGATCTTCCAACTCCTCTGCACTGAAAAAATGCATACCTGGTGTGAAAGGAGCTTTTAACGCCTTTGCCTGTGAGAAGTGAACAGGATTTATAGCCTATTAAGGATCTGGTAAACTGAGAAAAAACACTTTTATGCAGACATGGCTTAGAAAATAAGAATGCTACTAATAATTTTTCCCCTTACAGATTTCCAAAAGACTGAAGAAATGAACTTTCCTGATGCCAACACTTTTCCAAATTTAGTACTGATTTAGTTGTTTAAGGTGAAGCACAGCCAGGTTTTTTTATTAGTTTGCTTAGCTGGAATGCTGGTACAAAGCTTGGGAAGGTGAAAACAGAGCCAAGGGTTGATGGAACCTATCTTCTTAAGGAAGAATGACAGGGTTCCCAAATACACAGGGTATGCCTTCAAATGTTCCAGTTCAGAGGAGACCACCTTGTGTTACTAGACTACAGCACCCACAATCCTTCACCATAGGTTATGCTGGCAAGAGCTGGTGTGAGTTGCAATCTCAAAATTTCCAGAGGGACATGTTTTCGATTCCTGCTCTAAGCACTCACACAGGATGCCACAGTCATGCTGCCTGTCCTCTCTAGATGGAAACCTTCTCAATGGGAGAACAAGTTTTGCATCAATGGTGTATTTTCAGAGATCCCTTTCCCTCAGCCTTACTAGTCGGCCAAGGAACTTCCCTCTCATATCTCTTATGCACTGCACTGCAGAAGTTCTCATGGCATATCTAGTCCAACATATTTTGCAGTCAAGATTTCCTCCCAGCTCCATTCTTTTTACATAAGTTGACTAGGCAAACAGTTCAAACATGCTCAATTATGAGACTCTCTGGCTTCTCCCCTTGCCAGTCATGAACCTTTCCTGGAGGTGTCATTTGTGTGGCTCTCATTATCTTCCTATATATTGCTTTTAACAGAGTGGGGGAAATGGCCTGTACGTTTCCTAAAAGCACAACATTCAGCCTGATGGACCTGGCAGTATGATGGAGACAATTGGTATCTATCACTAAACTGCTTTTCAATACTCCCTAGAGCACAGTTTAGGAACCACTGCCTTGATCGTTTCTGAAAAATGATCTTCCTCTCTCTCTCACACACACACACTATAGGGTCAAACCCTTTCCATTTGGCAGGTCCAGATCTTAGACAACTTGTCCACCCTTTAATGCTGAGCCTGTAGTAGGCTAATAAACCATTTTTTAACATTCGCTATTCACATAACATGATTAACTAATGCTTCAAAATGCTCATTTATATATTTCCTGTGGCTGAGGACCCATGCAATCCATGCCTAATCCATGCACACACAGCTCAGATTCAAAGAAGCCCAAAGAATGGTCACATAAATTGATTTCTGAAAATTATGCCTGCGCTCCACTCTTCAAAGTCAGATGCATGAAAGATGGTCTCACATGAGCAGAGAACCACATGGGGTTTTGTTAATCAATCATGTGATTCGGTCCTATGGCTACATTCCCCCCCCCCCTTTCTTCCTTTCCTCAAATGCACACAAATATCTTTATCTCATCTACCATCTTTTAATATGTCTGTTAAGCTCATCTGCACTTTTATCATCTTCTCATTTCATTTCCCCAGCCCTGTCCTCTCTCTTTGTTCCTTTTAAACCAGGTTTTAAAAGGCAGAGGGGTAAGTTACACATGCTTATTGACTGAATGCATATTGCACTAAGTATTGCATTCACAGACCTCTTCCCTTCACAAGTCATTTCTAACCCTTTCAGTTAAGAGCATAATGGTCAGGATTCTACATGAGAGTTGCAAACAAATCTTTGGATACACAGTTAACGCACTGCCTGTGCCACCCAGAGCTAGCATAGCATAATGGTTTGGGCACTGGATTACGACTCTGGAGATCAGGGTTCAATTCCCCATTCAGTCATGGAAACCCAGTGACTGATCTTGGGCAGGTCACACTCTCTCAGGAGGAAGACAAAGTCAATACACACACACCTGAACAAATCTTGCCAAGAAAATTCCCAATAGGTTCACTTTAGGGTTGCCGTAAGTTGGAAACAACTTGAAGGCACATAGCAACAGCAGCAAAACTTTGTGCTGAGTGTCAGTGTTGTGCCATTGAACTCAGACACCAAATGCCTAAATGAATTCACAACTTCATGAGCATACACATCCTCCATGCCCAATGAGCATGCACATGCAATGGGCAATGCATCAATGCACAATGCCCACCTGCATGCACAATGGCACTGCAAGCCCAATTCCACTTCAGCTGAATGCAGGCATGCTGTATGGGGTAAAAACATACATCCACATCTGTGGGGAGCACATGTGTGAAACACTAACGTGGTTCTAGCCACTGGATTACTGCTTATCTCCTCCCACCATACACACACACACATACACACACACACTGCACACCATGCTTTTAACAGCAACCTGATGTGGGAAATGATACAGACAAAGCTTTTTCTGTTAATTTTTTCTCCATGTCTCCAAAAGCTTCTTCTGCAACTTTTACTGGAAAAGGAAGGGTTAGCAAGAAACACAGTCCCAGATCTGCAACCGTGCTTGCTGCTGATGCTGTAACTGGGAAAACTGGAATATGCTGGCTGTTGGGAGTGTATCCCCTTTACAAGATTGAACTGGAAATACTGCCAATATCTTAAATTCTGCAGGGATTTACGCAGACTCATTTCTGCACTTTAGAGGGCTCATTTCTGCTCTTTGCTTCAAAATGTGGATTATTCCCATTGTTCTAAATTTTTTTCTTTTTAAAACTGGAAAACAATGGAAAATATATAAGCAGCGTTAAAAGGAATTGATGCCAACCACTGCCTTTCTCTACATCATGGTACCGAAATGTCTCCTTCTTCATTTGACATATTCTGCCTCCTTCCCTACAGTGGGGATAATACGCTGCCATTTATAATGTGAATGGCTCTATTTTCCCTATGCACTGCGCTCTGACTCAATCTTTCCCCACTGGTATGAGCTTGGATCTTGGCTGAGGACCATCTATCCAGATGTTACAAGAAAAGTTATTTCTTTTGCAATGCCTGATAGGGCATTACATGTGCCTGCTTCTTTGCCTGCAAACATTAACACTTTGCTAAGAGTGCACAGAGAGTACAACATGGTATAGTGGTTTGAGCACTGGACTCAACTCTGGAGACCAGGGTTTGAATTCCTGCTCAAGCAAAAAAGCCACAGAGTGACATTGAGCAAGTCACACTCTCTCAGCCTCAGAGGATGGCAATGGCAAATCCCTTCTGAAGAACAATGCCAAAAAGGTTGTCATAAGTAAAAAATGACTTGGATGCACACAACAACAGCAAGCGCATGACAAAGGATGGATGGTTTGGGGGTAGCTGCGTATTCCAAGCAGCTTCGCAATCAGATCCTTCCCATGGGCCATGCTGGCCCATGAAATGAGTCTCTGGGCACCCCAGGAAACAGCCATATACATTTGTGTGACTGCAGAGATAGATCTTTCTTCCTCCTGTGATAACTGATGCCCATGCATGTGTGTACAATGAGCCAAGGTTGAGCAGTGGCCAGCTGGCTGCCTGGGGCTAAGGCTGAGGATTAGGGCTGGCACTGGAATTAACTAAAGGACTCATTAGTGCACAGCCCTTGAAATTACTTGGTGTTCAGTGGCATTTAGCAGTTCCCTTGGGACTGCGTTGTTTTTATGGTGAGATGGGGTCTTTGAGCAGCTGCAGAATGCATGAGGATCAAGCTGGCCTGGATGGACCTCTCTGAGCTTAGGATGGTTCCCTTTGTATGATATTTTGCACATACAGAATCACAGGATGTGCATAAAGCTTGGCTATACCAAATGCAAATCTTCTGTGTGAATAAGTGGGAATTAATGGGTGCTCAGAATTATATATTTTATTATGATACAAGGAATATGTTGGAGATGTTCAGGTATGCAAGTACATCTGCTAAATGTGTTATCCTTGATGGCCTTTGGTGGGGTTTGCATCTGAACACTCTGGTGGAAAAATCTATCAAAATAGCAGACATTTTATAGAAATTTTAATTCCCCTCCCATTTTTATAAAGATATTCTTCTACTAATCTTAATTGGTTTCCCCACAGTACTGAATGAAATCCGTCAAATTATCTAAAAGACCTGTCACAAAAATTCTGCTGACTCAATGATATTTTATTGATTCATTTACCTGCTCACATCTTGTAATAATGTAAATTTGAATTAGATTTAATTTAATCAACAACTCTGCCATGAAAGCAAAAGGTGGAATTATCTTAAATATGCCTCTTGGCATGGGAAGACTCTCATCAGTGTTGTTTTTCTTTCAATTTGCAGATTTCAATTTACTTTTTTGATCCTAAATTATTTTCACTTCTCCCACCTCCTCAACTGATTCACTAGGGGTGTCACACAGAATGCAAGCATCATACAATCTCATCACCTTTTCATTTTTGTTATGTTTGCTAGATTGGAAACTCCCCAGCCCTAGGAATGTCCCACAAGGGTGAGAAATACCATGTTACCCTAAGGCAAAAAAAGAAAAAGGCAGAACATGTTTACTGTAATTACAGACCAAGTCTCACAGCTACGGTTCAAAGTGACAACACTGTTAACCGAAATTGCTAGTAACCAAACCTCCTCACGCTTCTCAGGTCTTTAAGTGAAGAGCACAATTACAGTCCA